GGCCTGTAAATTAATTGCTAGGTTACTTGAACATTTGATGACATTTTTGTGGTCTTTTATTTTTGTAGACTGTGCAGGGATTAAGAACAGTACCTGATATAATCTGCTTTTTGGATTAATAAATATCAAATGTTTTATTTTGCATGTGGGTGAGGCAATTTCTGGAAGGATATTCCCTTTGGGTGCCTGTGTATTGTCAGCTTTTACGAATCAAAGCAGATTAAACGTTGCTGGTGTGCTCCAGAACTATTTCTTTTCTCATAGTTGGGACCTGTCCCATTTTTCTGGAAAGTTGAGTTATACTGAGCATAACCATTAATAGACTGTTTTGCATTTGCATGGGGCTTTCAGTTTCAGGATTTCACAATCATTGCCTTTTAATCCATATAACACCCCTGTGAGGGAGGTAGATGCATTCAAGTATCCAAGTTTCCTGCAGGCAAATTTGAGTGCCAGCAGGAGTATTGTGATTGGCACTGACTTTCCTTATTTTCCCAGAGGCCAGACACCTGGAGAGATTTTCTTTCAGACTCAGGTACCTACCAGTATTTCAGCTGCATGGGGCTGCCTCTTCATTCCTCTTGCTATTTTACTAAGATTCAGTGGCCATATGCATCATTAGCCATAATGTTGTGCAGGCTGAGTTAATCTGCATAAAACCCATATCGGAAGGATAAATTGGGGAAATTTCGTAGAGATCCCCATTTCTAGCCATCTGCATAGCACATTTCAGTTGTGTGCACATTTTCATCATTCCAACAAATATTCTTTTAATTCAGTGACAACATTTATGAGCTCCACCGTTTTAAATAGATGATTTAAAAAGATCCTCCAAATTCTAGTAGGCTTGTCACACCCACCACCTGGCCCCCTGGCGCCGTGTAATCCCATCAACGGCCAAGACTCAGAGACTATAAAATCCAGCTCCCGGAACCGCGCGGCCGCATTTGTGGCCGTGCAACATCTTATCAGGACAACTTTTATGACATCTTATCATCTCATTCCTACCTTGGGCAAACTTGTAGGCTATTGAATGTAGCCTGCCCACAGGGCAGAGTCTGGCAAACTCCCCGTGGCATACCAAATATGCCAAATACCAGTAACAATGATGGGTCTCACTCTCCTAAACAGCCTTGAATATAATCTCAGGGCTAGGATGAAAGAGACGTTACTGGGGCCTGCTCGAGGCAATCGACGAATAACAGGATGATGAAATGATGAAAATTATTTATTTATTTAAACCTCTTTTTTTCTTTTCTTTTTTTTTTTTAATGTTTTGAGTCACACCCATTGGTGCTCAGGACTTACTCCTGGCTCTATGCTCAGGGATCACTCCTGGCAGCCTCAGGGGACACTATGGGGCACCAGGTATCAAAGCTAGGTCGACTGCGTGCAAAGCAAATGCTCTACCTGCTGTACTATTGTATCTTGCCCTCATAGTAAAGTAAAGGCCCTCCCGTTGATCATCGATTTGCTCGAACGGGCCCAGTAACGTCTCCATTGGAGACTTTGTTGTTACTGTGTTTGGCATATTGAATACGTCACGGGGAGCTTGCCAGACTCTGCCGTGCGGGCAAGATACTCTCGGTAGGTTGCCGGGCTCTCCGAGAGTGGCGGAGGATTCGAACTCGGGTCGGCCATGTTGGCTGCGTGCAAGGCAAACGCCCTACCACTGTGCTATCGCTCCAGCCCTCATAAGTGAGATTAATAAATGAGCACCAAAGATCTGTTTTCAAGCATCCATATATATTTAAACAGACAGTATATATATATTTAATGATTATATAATCAATAATAAGGTACCAATTGGAAACAGTGCCAGAAATAATATAGTGTATGGTTATCTGTACCAGGTACTAAGAAAAACATTTATTTATTGGTTTGGGAATCACACCTGGCTCTGCTTAGGGCTTACCCCTGGCTTGTTGCTCAGAAGTGATGCGGGGCAGAGTTTGGGAGACCATTTGAGGTCCTGAGTATTGAGCCAGAGACATCTACGTGCAAGGCAAGTGTTTTACCCCTGTACTTTACCTCCTATCCCAACAAATATGAACTAGATACCATGTTTTCCATGTTTATAAAAGGTAAAAGGTAAAGGCCCTCCCGTTGATCGTCGATTTGCTCGAGCGGGCCCAGTAACGTCTCCATTGGAGACTTTGTTGTTACTGTGTCTGGCATATGGAATACTCTCGGTAGCTTGCCAGGCTCTCCGAGAGGGGCGGAGGAATCGAACTCGGGTCGGCCATGTTGGCCGCTTGTAAGGCGAATGCCCTACCGCTGTGCTATCGCTCCAGCCCATGTTTATAGGTGACAGAAAACAAATGCTGATGCATTACCACGACCACTACTTATTTTAACTTATTTCATGATATTCCATTCCCTACATGAAGGAACTATAGAAAGTGTTTAAATCATAGGACAGTGTACAACACTGGGAGAGTATTAGAAGGGTAGAATTTTTTTAAAAATGACACCCTGGATAGAGAGATACTACAGGGGTTAAGACAGTTGCTTTGCATGTGGCAGACCCGTTTTGCATTGAGGCTGCTAAACACCACCACGGGGTGTGACCCCCAACCTCTTCTCAAAAACAAGCAAAAAGGGCATATAGTAACACAGTGATTTTATTTTTTTCAATAATCAAAAGTAAATTCAGGTCCCCCCAAATTATTCTTATTCAAATCAGACCCCTTTTTGTGGGGGGAGGAGTATTAGGGGGGCACACCTGGATGTGCTCAGAGCTTATTCCTGGCCCAGCTCTGAGAGATCACTCCTGGCATGCTCGGGAGACCATATGGAATGCCAGGGACCAAACCCAGGGTGGCCGTGTGCAAGGCAAGTGCCCTACCCACTGTACTTTTGCTCTGGCTTTCCACATCAGACTTTGTGTGTGTGTGTGTGTGTGTGTGTGTGTGTGTGTGTGTGTATCATCTTTCCAGGCACTTACTGTAACTGCTTCAAGGGAACAAGGGAAAATTATTTGTGTTTTTCTTCACTTTGATTTTTTTCTATCATTTTGTGAAGGAGGGACTATGTTTTACTTATCTTGTAATCTTACAGGGGCAATAATCCTTAATCATTTAGGTGAAATTTCTGAAGGAACTGACTTTTAAAAATTAGAATACTGGGGGCTGGAGTGATAGATAGCACAGTGGGTAGGGCATTTGCCTTACACGCTGCCAACCCAGGTTTGATTCCCGGCATCCCATATGGTCCCCTAGAGCACTGCCAGAAGTAATTCCGGAGTGCAGAGGCAGAAGTAATTCCTGTACATTGCCAGATGTGACCCAGAAAGAAAAAAAAATCAAAATACTGGGCTGAAGCAATATACAGTGATAGGGTACTTGCCTTGTATGCAGCCTTCTTGGGTTTGATTCTGTGCACTCTTAGGTATAATTCCTAAGAGCAGAGCCTGAAGTAAGCCCTGAACACCACTGGGTGTAGTATAAAACAAAACAACAAAAAAGTGAAAAATAAAAATTAGAATCCTTTTAGGGCCAGGGCAATGACTTAAGGGGATAGAATTGCATGCTTTGCCTATGGACACCCCAGTTAGATCCCACTGAATGGACACCTCAACACTGCGTTGGAATAACTCCTAGTTGCTAACCCAAGTAGTCTCTGAGCACTGCTGGGTGTTTCCCCAAAGTAAAAATAGTTAAAAACAAATTAGAAGGGTTTTGATTGCAAAAGACTTATTTGTGTATGATGACATTTCCAAATGAAATGAAGGAATTTTTATGGAAACATGTATTTCCCCAGTTCTTCTTAAAATAATAATTAGTTCCAGTTCTCCTATGGTTCCTTTAAAAATTATTTAGTGTATATACTTTCCAGTATGTGGATATATGCACACTCATTTCTGATGTAATTTCATGCTAAAACCTATGAACTGATATGTTCAAGTCAACCATGACTTCAGTGATAATAGTTGTCTTAAAGACATAGTCATAAAACTATGCTCTGCATATGTTTTTTAATAATTTGCCCACGCATTATAAAATGATTGCCTTGGCATAATTATGATTATATTGTAAAGGAAAATGTGTGTGTACTTAAAGAAAACAGAGACATAAATACCACACAATTCTAAAGTTTATTTTTGTTTGTTTGGGAACCATACCCAGTGGTGCTCAGGGCATACTCCTGCCTCTGTGCTTAGGGATCACTCTTGGCAGGGCTCAGGGGACCGTATGGAGTGCTGGGGATTGATTCCAGGTCAGCTGCATGCAAGGCAAAAGCCCTTCCCACTGTACTATCTCTCTGACCCCTCTAAAATACTTTCAATTTCAGTTCTTGTTTTGTTCTGTTTCACGCCACACCCAGCTATACTTGGGTTATCCTGGCTTTGCACTCAGGAGTCATTCCTGGTAGTGCTTTGGGTACCATATAAGACGTGGGGGATTGAACTGGGGTTGGTTATGTGCAAGGCAAGTGCCCTACCTGCTGTAGTATCTCTTCGGCCCCAATTAATTTTAGTTCTTTAATGTAAAAGTTGGTAAATGGAAATTAAGAATGAGGGACCTGAGAGATAGTGGGGAAGGCATTTGCCTTGTATGTGACCAATTCCAGTTCAATATACATCACTCTCTATGGTCCCCTGAGCATACAACCAGAAGAAATCCCCAAGTACTACCAGGGATATCAGTATCTGTTCCTCCCTCTCTCTACCTCCCCCTGCCAAAAAAAAAAAAAAATCCCTCACCAATAATTAGACTCAGAAGTCCAGTATATTTAACATTCTTCTGAATTTTATACTTCCAAATTTTTCTTACAATTGATAAAATTTACCAGGTTACACCAGATATTAAAGAATAAGGTGATATTTTGAAAACAGCTATAATTTTGTATAAACTATTTAGCTTGGAAATGATTTCTATATATTATAAATTGGAGCTATGAAAAGATATCCAATTCATTTTTACAAGATGATTTGAACCTTTTGTGCACTTTTGAAAGGTAAGTTGCTAATCCTTTATGTTTTTGATTTTTCATTGTAGGCTTTAGTATAAAAGCCGTGCCATTCCAGAATGCCATCTTGAATGTGAAAGAACTTGGAGGTACGTCATTTAAAATCTATTCAAAGACTGGCTTTAACTCTCATTATTTTGTACTAATATATTAGTTCTACTTAAAACATTACAATTTATTATTCTGTTGGGTTATTTATTTTTATCTTTTTCTAGATTATGTATTTCTTGAAAATACTTTATTCTCTTTATATGTATTTTATTAATTCTAAGTAATATAAATTTTTTCATTTGTAGGAATTATAGAATGGTATGCTAATATCACTTATACATGATGCTCTCATTTTTGTCTTAGAAAAGTTTATTATTGAAGGAAAAATTATCAAGACAATTTTAATATAAAGAAAAATAGTCTATAATGGTATATCACAAAACATTGAACTTTAAGGTAGTTTGTGTTAGATTGCAGGTTTTATTGTATTAGATCTTTTTTAGAATGTATTTGTTCCGATGATAAATCTTTCCCAATGGGTTCTTTGCTGGCCAAGCACATTTATTGGATAGGCTGTACCCCAAACTATACATCACTCTGTCTTTCATTACACTTTCTGTCTGGGATTTTTGCGTTGTGTTTTATGTCAGTCAGGGTCTTAACCCATGTAAATAGGTTAACAAAGAAATCAGTCAATTCAGTGAACCTACTAAATTCTCTAATGGCGCAGGAAAATGGTAAGTGCTCTAGAGTTCAGTATAATATTGGTGAGTTTAATGACTTAGAAGAAGGTTTTCTTCTATCTCTTTAATCACTTTGTGGTATTGACCTTGCCTTTAAAAAAAAAGTTCATTCTAACTATGACCCGTTTTTAGCTAGATAAAATTGAAACATACTTTATGCTATTTTGATAGTGTTAATGCTTTCTTATTTTTTATATAGTGTATTGACCAATCCTTTCAGGTGTTTATTTAGAGAACTATATCCAGCACAAGCTTACTTTTGTGCATCAGTTGTATCAGCTGTATTTTACTTTTATGACATTAGTATTTAAAAACAACTGTGGTTGGCATTTTTTGGTTTTTCCTTTAGGTTGATTTTCTTGATTTTCACTGGATTTTCTCATTTTTCTTACAAAAATCAGAGGTCCTAAATGCACTTGTAAGACTATTCATTCAAATTTTTTAAAAGACTGTTCTTTATTTGAGCATTATAATCTTATTTTGTTTTTATTTTTTGCTGACTGTTTGCTTCTAAGTAACTATGTCAAGTCAAAGAATATATAAAAATCCATGAAATCAAGATATATGATTTGAGAATTCTATTGGGGTTTTTTGTGAATTTTTAAATTAGGAAATTAACTACTTTATAAATAACTAATTAACTAAATTACCATTTTTATAATTTCTAGTTATTTTTTAAGCACAAATAGAAAATGAAATACTTTTAAATACTTTAATAATGCTATACACCAAACTATGCCTACATACATAGAAACATTCACTTCTGCTTCAAAGTGACTCATTTTGTTGTCATTACAACAAAATAGACATTCTCAACTTCACATGGAACATTCTTATGACAGAACACTGCTAAGTGTAGAGCAGATTATCTTATGCTAATTTTCAATCCCAAGTGACGGCTGAATAATTCTGCCCATTTCATCTTGATATTGGAGTCACTGAGAAAGAGAATTCTATTGGTTTTAAATATGGTTGGTACTTGATAAATATTTTATCGCTAAGCTAGATAACAAATTCTATTAAATAATCTCCAGTTGGAAGAAAGTTGGTTTCTTTACAAACTCTTTATTATAGATATTTTGTTGATTGATATATATAGAGAAGAATTCTAGACCAATGAAAAAGGTGAATATTTCGGGGAATTTTTTTTATGACTTGCTTCTATGCCATTGACTCTGTGCCTTGAAATTTAGAACAATAGAAGATAAATTAGAGGATGTCAGATGTATAAGACAGGAACCAGTTTGTTCCCAAGCAAGTTTTAATTTTGCTTAAAGATTTGAGCCCAGGCAATTGGTGATGTGGAAATACAATGGAGATGGGGATTCCAGGGGCTTGTTGGTGATATTTTAGTTCTAGTCAATTCTGTGATGAGGATGAGGAATATAGGTAACAGATAGAACTCAAGGGAGTGGAAGGGGTACATTAGTTCCAGGCTTATGATACGTCTGTGATAGTGAAGAGTAAACTTCTAGCCTAAACGCTGACTCTTCTACTCAACTTCAATTTTCAGGTTTCAAGGAGAAAACAAATTTCTGAGTAGCATCTCGTTTTATATCTTGTATGGCGTGTTCTGGAAAGAGGTCTTCCTCTGATTATTTACTAATTCTTTTCTTTCTTTCACTAGAAGATCATGATTTTTGATGAGCTTCTCTGGTAAGATAAGACTGAGTGGAATGAGTTTAGTATTTTAGGATCCATGCTATGAAGATAATTAATCGCTATTTACAGATGTTTGCTCAATTCAGTTAGATTGTCACTCCACGGAAAACCGCCCAAGTGACAAATGAATGTTCAGGATAAAGAATACTGAGGTGCAGCTCTGTGCTTCAGTATGGCCTGCTCAGTTCTCTGTCCTAGCGGTGTAGATGCAGTGGGTCACCACAGCCCCTGCATTCTCCTTTCTCGACTGCTTTGAGATGCTCCCCGTCACCCATTGTCTATCCTTAAGCTAAAGTTCTCACTTCTTTGGAATTGGAAGAGGCATAGAGTTGTACTCATTATCGCATATGAAGAAATGGATGGAATGATATAACAATGTTCCATGGAATTGAATTAAGTGAAAATCATGTGAGGGTATCTTAATACTACAACTGATAGATGTTTTGTGTGTGTATATGTGATAGGATTTTTGTGCAGAATATGTGATATATATATTTCTGGCTTCTTATCAGCTTTTCTCTTTATAAAGCTATGTGCAATGTATTTCATGTTAAAATATTTTATAACTCACATTCACGTTGATTTTTTCCCCACATTCTTTCCCTAACGTCCATGGGGTCATTCTAGCACAATTCTGTGTGAAATATGATTCCAGGAGTTGGAAATAAAAGATATTTTTTAACACATTCCATATCTTCTAGGAACCCATGCTTCCCATGAGAGAGATATTCATGAAAATACATTTTTTGGTTCTTTTTCTTTTTTTTTTTTTTTTTTTTTTGGTGGGGAGGGTCAGACCCAGCAGTGCTTAGGACTTATTCCTGGTTTTGGACTCAGGGATTATTCCTGGTGTGCTCAGGGACCTTATGTGTTGCCAGAGATAGAAACTTACCCACTGTAGTATCGAAATTAGCAAGTTTTTCTAAAAACAGTGACTTGTGGGGGGGGAGGAAAAATAATAAAAGATCGAAGTAAGGCAAGACAGGAAGTAGGCATTATCAGTGAAACCTAGCAGTGTGATGGGCGAATTCTGTTTTTCACTGCTTTTGATTATGCAACCAGCCCCGACACATACCCATCCAGCTGTATTAATTGTCCCTGTTTCTCAGTGAAATTGGAACTTTGTGTTTTCTTCTTTTAAATCCCCCCTCTTCTTTTTCTCCCCCTACACCCTCATTTTATCACTGCAGTCCTGTATGTAGAGAGTAGCTGGTGTCCTCTTACCAGCAGTGAGACACAGGAGCTCAGATACAGAAATCCAGTGCCTTGGTCTGAGTTGCTTGGAAAAGAAAGTGGCACTCATTGTGGACGCTTGCTCTTACCAGTGGGTTGTACAGTGAAGCCTCTCATCTGTGTATATTATCTGTTGCTACTTTTAATTACCACACACACATTTTCTTCTGGTGTTGCTATTATTTTCATGAATACTGTATTGATTTTAAAGCATGCGCATTGGACCCATGAGATAATGCTGAGTCCTGGAGTACTTGCTTTACCTGTTGGAGCCAAGGTTGGATCCCTCACACTACGTGATAATCCCCAGAACACTGACAGGGAGTATCCTCACTACCGCTGCAGGATGTTTTCCCCCAAATTAAAATTTGAAAAACAGCAACAACAGAAGCCCATGAACATCTTGTTCTCTGCTCAGGACTTAGCCTCTGATTGTTACAGCCACTCTCATCATTTTTTTTTTCTGATACTCTTAAAGGCCATTCAGTGCAAATCAGTTATGGATCTGACTAATGTCACTTGTTCCTCTTCTGATTTCTTCAAGATGTCTTATGAATCAGTTTTAACTCCATTTGCCCTACTATCTTGGTCTGTCACCACACACACCATCTTCTTCCATTTTCTTTCAGTTGTTTAATCAGTGTTTCCATCTTAGACACCAGGTAGCAATCTCAAGTCTGCCGTTGGTTTGGGCCCTGCGCTGTGAGCACGGTTCCTTGCACACACTAGAAAATGGGCAGTAGGAAGACTCTTCTGTCCTTGATGTCTCCTTCTTCTTGATTAAATCCAAGTCTTCCTACTTATAGATCTAGAACAAGTGTCTAGATCAGTCCCTTTTGTTGCTGCAAGTCTCGTTTTAAATATCTTTGAACAAGACTGTGTGTTAGTGCTGGTTCCTATGACCTTCTTCCCTTGCATAAGGAATCCAATGTCCTTTTTCTTTGGGTTATACTTAATTGTGCTGCTGGACTTGCTCTGGATTCGTTGGACTCCTCTGGATGTTGTGCAAGACACCTAGCAGTGATCCCAGAAAGACAAACCTCTTAGTGACTGTGCCTCTTTCCTTGTGACGAGTTTCAAAGCCCAACCATTCTGTCGACTATTTCCTTACTTGTAAAATGTAGACATAATAGTTCCAATGTCCGTAATCTTTGTGAGGACTAAATGGCTTAATGTAGGTCTTGTACTTAGTGATTGCGTAGCCTATAGCTAACATTTTCTTAAAAATCTGCTTTTATTATAATTATGATTTTATTATAATTATACCTTTACTCCCCTAGTCCTTATCCCTTTACCTCCCACCAATATCTTTCCATAAAGCTTTTCCACAATTCTCTATAAACAAATACAAATCCCATAGTCATTAATTTTTCCTTTGGGGGTCCTCCCCTTCTTTCTCATGGCCTTGCTAGTCCTTGTCTTCATTGAATCATACCCGATGAAACTGCAGAGTCACAGCA